CTTGTATCTAGGTGTCGGGCGTGGAAGTCCAGGGTGTCCAGGTGTTCCGCTCCGTAGTTTCTTGTATGTAGGTGTCGGAGAATTATAACACTGAAATACGTTTCTATTATATAATCTTTGATACATTTGATAAATCCTACAATTTTTCCATCATTAATTCTATTTAGAATGTTATTAATGTGACTTGGAACAAATGGTGTTCGTTTCTCACACACAATTTGCGCGTGCGCGCTACAGTCTCTTTTAGTACAAATCCCGACTCATAGGCAGCGCCACAAGATAGCTTGGGATTGTGGGGGCACAAGCAGTTTCACCACAATATATTTTATTTATGTACAACGTCAAAAGGCAAGCAAAATGACAGGTAATGTTTTTAACAAATCGTTTCTTTATTTTTAGTATCACGAGGATGAACACAAAACCATGCCGCGAGGTAAGTAGCTAGAAGTACGAAAGTGTAACTAACGCTACGCTTATCCGTGGCGCTAGTGTTTCTTGTTGCTGCGCGTTTCTAAAGGCTAGTTTCCAATTTTACATCCTTTTGGGTTGATCTCCACAGGATTTTCGGGGCGCCATCTACCCGCCGGGATTGGAACTAAAATTTTACTATAGTATATGCTTGACATACCCCCACCACGTCCTCCGCACCTCTATACCTATCAAGAAACTCGGTCGAGTCTCGCGCCAAGTACAGGAACGAAATATCTTATGAACCGCTATATATGAGGAAAAGTTATTGATACATTCACTATAGGAATTGAAGGTTCTGAAGCGATTGCCACCAAGTTCAATATGATTAGTGTACGAGATCAGGGCGTATTGAAATGGCGAGCGATATGATTTTATTTCAGTTCCGTCGTCGTCGTCATCGTCGTCGTCGTCGTCGTCTTCGCACGTCCATCGCATTTTTTACACGACAGATGGCCCTTTGCCTTCTTTACCTATTTGTACTCTGGAAGGTGTTGGTAATTTATGAATACACAACACAATCAAATACACTTTGTACGTGATGCTACCGTTCACACCGAATTTCCAGTTGACATAAGGCTACTTTCACAATAGTATAGAATTATTAAGGCTTTCATGTGGAGCGCGTGTGCATGCGTGTACGTATGTGTGTATGTGTGTGCTTTAACATAGTTCCTCATATTTTAGGTGACAATTTTTAGAGATATGGGATTTCCAGATCCTCCTCTCCGTAGTTTTCTGTAACTAGGTGTCGGATGTGGAAGTCCAGGGTGTCCAAGTGTTCCGCTCCGTAGTTTCTTGTATCTAGGTGT